GCAGGGGCAGCAAAAAAAAAAAAAAAAAAAAAGAGTTGATGCAATCGCAAATTTATTGCTTCCCTTTTTTTCAAAAAAATTGCCAACCCTCTCACGAAATAACGACGCGTTTAAAAGGTGGAGGATTGTCATGTGAACTGCACGTGCCTAAGCGATAGTTTAAGCTTAAAATCAGCGATATTACCAATGGCGGAGCATATTTGCAGATTTATGGCCTGCAGTGACAACGATTACGGACAGTGTGCGAAATGAAAGAAGACAAATGCAGCTCAGCTACGGTACGTAGGTATATTTCTTATCTCTTATTACTTTTGTTGTTACTTTTTTTTTCCAGGAAACAAATATCACTATTTCTTCGTATCATCACTTAAGCCGAGGTAATGAGGGAGGAGAGGGAGAGCGAGGAAGAAAACGTTGAAAAAAAAAAATTATTCTTTACAGTTGACAGCTTCATTAGTGCTGCTGTACGGAGCACTAAAGGCATTGCACAAGATTGCACTGTAATGACGTTATTAGTTCTAAAAATTTTAATCTTTCGATCATTTGATTCATTTATCTGCTGATATGCCAATGGCTATTTAGCGACCAGCAGCACCACCCAAAAACATAACGGCGCCTGCTTGACTCTTTCCATTTCAGCATACCAATTACTGTTGCAATCTGGTCGTTCTTTGTTTTACAATATCACCAGTGAGTTGTTCCTGTTTAAGTGACACTGTTGCCAAGTATTTATTACTAATTGAAGATTTCATTACTTACCTTCTATCCTCCTCTCCTATTCAGTAAACGCGAAATCAAGCCAAGGATGGGCAGTTGTTAGGTCATATCAATAGGGTTGTTGAAAACCGAACAATTTGACATCGTTGGAAGCTGCTTCCGTCCAGTCGTGTGATGGACTTTGTTATAACGGAAACGGGTATTCTGAAAGTGGAAAAAACATTTATATAGAAGCGTCTTATATGATCTGTCACCTGATGATTTTATTGTAAGTTTTTGATTTATATTTTTGGTAGAACAATGTTAGTTCTTTGACAGTATCGTTTGGTGATAAAGGAATACCGATCAGTCAGTGCATCAATTGGATATTTTCCAACACTGCCGAAGTTGAAGATACTGAAAAACGGTTGCCAATGCAGAAGTCGTAAGGAAATGTATTTTGCAGGTGACCTGTTGCCAGCAGCAGTTTTGAGGCCGCAATTGTTATATTAATAAAAGGCCCTGTTTTATTCATGCAACAGTTTTATTATCTTCTAAATTTCCAGAATATCTGATACTTTTTTTTCTGTATAAAGATGATATTTACCGGTGATTTTTGCGATATTTAAACGTAATGATACTTAGTTTTTGGTTTTTACATTGTTTTTTGGTATCTCTTTTGTTTAACATTTTTGACTGCTGTGTAAAAAGTGTATTATTTCTGCCTTGTTGAGATTTATTGATATCAGTTTTATACGTCTTTTCATTCTGTTTATATTTATTTTTAGGAGTATTATTCTATATATACTTTTCTTTAACACTATTAAAAAAAGTATTCTTTTTTTGTGATTTATATTTTTTTATCGTTCGGATATTTTATCGTTTATCCATTATCACTTATATTTTAAAAAAAAACAATGTTATTTGTACAAGTAACATAATTTTATTGTTTTTGTAGTTTTTTTATTGCTGTACAACCGCAAATATTTACCACTGCCAATGAACTGTACAAATAAATTATAAAAAATGAGCTTTAAAGTTAGCAGAAATCTCGTTTGGTATATAATTTAGGTTCACTGGAGTAATGTGCTTGTCTTTATCGATACTTTTATTAGATTTTTATTTACGTAATTGCTTTATTTACAGAAAATTCTCTAATCTAATGCGTGACAAACGTTACGTCATATTCCGAATTTGTTATTACGGAGATTTAATGGATGTACTGCAAAATTTGTTTAGGGAATGTCGAGCAACGGGTGGTGGTATGGCAGCGTAGTTCCTGTTCTAAAAGGAATAAAACTGCTAACGCTTAGTCAAGTTGGTTATGATCTTCGTCAGATTGAAAGCAGGTAAAAAAAATTAACTCTTCAGTAATTCTATCTGGTTTGATTCTTAGAAGATTTGAAAAAACAAATAAGTATTCATATTGTGAAAATTTTTATTAATCGGGATTTCTTACAGTATGGAACAGCAGAAAAAAAAAAAAGCTTTTAAAATGGTTTTAACGTTTTCTAGGATTTCTGCAAAGGCTATTGAGAAGTGCTTAACCTGTGGATCCTGCAGCGGTACGGGCAAAGATGACTATCCTACTGATATGTAAGTTTAAGTACTTGTGAAACAAATAAAGAAAAAAAAAGAATTTACGAAAATTTTTAGTTATTAGGCTATATGCCTTGTCGTTTATATAATGAATTAGCAGGTACGGAAGCTGGTTGCCACCAAGGACAAGAGATGTTTTTGAAAGGATACAAATTGTTGGTGCTGGTTTAAAAGCATACGGAAATATACTAGCTAAGGGTCAAATACCAGGTATAGTTGTCGTATTTTATTTTCTTATTTCAATTTAAAAGAATATTCTAGCTCAAATTAATTTGAGACGGAATTGATAATTGCTGGATTTATCGTTACCTATGTCTGCGCACACTGTACAGTGATATCTTCAGTGACGAAAATTTTGCTTCTAAACTGAAGGCTGTGATCTTACTTGATAGCTACTCGTCAACATAAGTACAGATTTTTTAACAAGTTTAGGTCGGGTTGGTTATACTGTCTCTCCTTTGAAGACTAATAATACAGTGGACAATAATAAGAGCTGCTCACCTTTGACAGGGTCTACGGGCCAAGTTGCTAATGACGTTTTGGGAAGAAGCTTTGCAGATGTAGGTACTGTTAGGAGTACTGCTTCGACACCGGAATGCTCTAGTAAAAGGAGTTATTCGACGCAGTCCACATATCGCTATGAAACGGTTCTTTTGTTTGTTTGTATTAATATTTTCATAAGCTTTCATCTTCTGTAACGAAAGTAATAAACTGAGTTTCAGGATAGCATGGGAATGCCTATTCGCATAAAGAAAAGTCCACAACGGTACATATTTTGAGATAGTTATAGTTTGTTTCGCTAGCATTTTTCATAGCAGTTCTTTTCTTATTGAATAAACGATTTCTCCTTGTTCCGAAAATTTTATCTTGCATTGGTTCATCTGAAACCCTACTGGGCTTTATTATTAAATTAGAGTATTGTATTGGTCAGTTGAATCATACTCGTTATTTTTTCCAGTCAAATTTTTGCAGAGACATTCCCTCGGAAAAGCCGAATGATATTTATCAACCTAAACTACCTAAGGTTTGTCTTGACTAACGTATTGGTCTTTTTTAAGAATGTTCAGTGCTAGAAGTTTTTCAAAATTCATTATGGATTAGTATATGGTTCACTTTGGTAGTCAATCATTATTGGTGGTCTTTTTGGTATTGCCTTGACTTGGGCTAGTGTTAATGTTAACTTCTAGGGCTACAAATTATCGATCTCAAGTAACACTGATGCCAGTAGAAGTAGCCAGGAAAGAAAAGTTCCAAGTTCTCGTATAGCGCGGCTTGCTAGTTTTGGTCAGTTGGGTATAGGCTTAGCTGCAGGAGCAGCTGCAGAAGTTACTAGACGAGCATTTGGATTAAATAAAGTACGTTAGGTTCTGTTGTACAGATAAGAATTTAAAAAAGTAGCACAGAATTATCAATTAAAATTTTCATTCTTTATTACACTTTTATCTTTTATCAGGTTTGAACATGTACAGTGGCTGTAGGTTATCAATATTTTGGACAATTAATGAGTGGTATTTTTAAGGCAGATACGGAAGGTTCTACAACTAGTGTTTCTGCAAACCCATTTTTAACAACTTCAAATGCTGAAAAAATTGTTCAAACCTTGTGTAAAGTTCGTGGAGCAGCACTTAAGCTTGGGCAGATGTTAAGTATTCAAGGTTAGTTATTCGTTTCTTACTGCTTCTTTGCTAAGCAAATTTTTTTAGACGTTTACTTTGAATGTTTTTATGCGTCTTTTTTCAGATGCTGATACGGTATCGCCAGTTTTGCTTCAATTGTTCGAACGTGTTCGCCACAGTGCCGATTTCATGCCAATTAAGCAGGTGCATCGACAGCTTCGTTCGGATTTTGGTGATGGTTGGAGAAGCCAGTTTCTTGAATTTGAAGACAAACCGTTTGCTGCTGCATCTATTGGACAGGTGGTGACCTCAGTTTTTTTGGGAAATGAGCTTTTTTGACTCATAATTGATGTTTGATTTGCTCATGTCTCTGAGGATAAACAGGTCTGTAAGGTACTTGAATATAAAAAGATTCTAGGTTCATCGGGCTGTTTTACCAGATGGTCGAAAGGTTGCTGTAAAAGTTCAGTATCCAGGAGTGGCTCATGGGATTGATTCGGATATTGACAATCTGGTCAGCGTTCTCAGAGTGGCCAATATTTTCCCCAAAGGGATGTTCCTGGATGAGTTCGTCAAGGTTGTGTTCCTTTTCTTTCGCGTCAAATTTTCTTTTGTGAAATTTTAGCTTTTATTACCGATTTCGTGTAGCGAAATTTTAAGGATAATGACTAGACATTGTCTTAAACTACCACAGTTGGAACAGTTTTTACGAAAGTTAGGGGTTTTTTAGTCAAAAATTTGTTGCTAGTGTTCCATTAAATTGATGCAATGTGGGAACTTTGCTTTTAACCGAACCAGCTGTGTCATACTGAGTTAAGGGTGAACGTAAATACTTCAAAATGTGTATGAATTGGCTTCTGTCTTTTAGATGCTATATTTATTCACTATGGTACTTAAATTACAGGTAGCTAGAACTGAGTTGAAGTTAGAATGCGACTATAAAAGAGAGGCACGGGCCATGAAGCAATTTGCGAAATTGCTCGAATTTGATTCTCACTTCTATGTCCCTAAGGTTAGTGTGGAGCTCCTATGGTTTATGAATAAACCATATTTTTTCTGAAATATGCAATTCAGGTCATTGACAGTTTGACAAATACCCATGTTCTTACCGCTGAATTTGTCGAGGGAGTACCAGTTGACGTTTGCATTAATGAACCGCAACAAGTTCGAGACTACATTGCTTCGAAGTTTATAGAATTGTGTCTTCACGAAATTTTTGTATGGAGATTCATGCAGGTAACTTTTTCGGTTTTTTCTGTAGAACGTGTCTTTACTGCCCGTCATCTGGGTGTACGGTAAATGCGAGTTTTTAAGTTGCTTTGAAGTCAAATTAGCGAAATATTGTTATAGACTGATCCTAACTGGTCAAATTTTTACTTTGGCAAGCATCCCCGTAGCGGGGAACCATGTTTGTTGCTACTGGACTTTGGGGCCTCGAGAGCGTATCCAAAAAAATTTGTCGACCAGTACATGAAGCTAATTCGCGCTGCGTATGACAAGGATAAGAGAAAGGTCTGTTTTGGTGTTGTGTTTTGCTATATGATATCTTTGCTGCTTTTATTAGTTGTTTTTTTGCCACTTCCGTAATGAGAAATGTCACATTTCACTAATTTAGATTTTGGAGTGGTCTCGCAAGATCGGTTTTCTGACAGGCTACGAGAGCAAGGTAGAGTCGTAAAACAACATTAGCTTCTGAACTCTGCGTTTATTTCTTTCAAGTACACATAGCCTTAATTTATATCATTGACACTATGGCTAGTATCTTCCAGATAATGGAGGAAGCGCATTGTGATTCTATACTAATTCTTGGAGAAACGCTTGCGTCTTCAAAAGCCTATGACTTCTCTAAGCAGGTGATTTTATAGGCTATTATCTTATTTACTTTTTTTTATTATAAAGGGAAGTTATTTTGACCGAGTTATTTATGAATGATTTGTAGCAGCGTTTTAGTTGGGCAAATTACGGGAAGTTTATACTGTTCTGCTTTTTTTAAAGTAAATATTATTGGTTTCCTGCCAGGATATTACACGGCGGATCCATACATTAATACCCGTGATTCTTGCAAACCGTCTGAAATCTCCGCCTGAGGAAACCTATTCTTTACATCGAAAACTGTCAGGAGCGTATTTGCTAGCAACAAAACTTAAGGCTGTTGTCTCTTGTGGACCGTTATTTAAATTAATTAATGAGAGCTACTCGTTTGGCGGCCTTGATGATAGAATTGACATTGATACGGTACCTGATCCTGTACAGAATCCTAAAGCTCAAGTAGCAAGCTAATTTTCCGAAGTAACCGAATCTTTTTGGTTTCATTATCTGACTATTTACTTCTCTGACTCCTTCAGTAACGTGACCATTCTTCGCTATATGGAACAAAAATTCTTCCTGCAACGTTTGCCAAGTATTACCTGTGAAGATGAAGACTCTATTTGGGTTATTATATCCACTTACATTATAAAGAGTGTTACTTCACTATTACTTGAGCTTTTTCACATTATAATCTATACTTCTTATTGGCCAGCATTTCTTGTTATGAATTGCAGATTAAGCTTTTAGATGTCAACCACCTAATTGTTTTGCTGTTTCTAAGTCACTGGACAGTCCTACTAAGAGCCATTTCTACTCTTTTTTTACTTGGTTTTTATTGTCCTCACTTTTTATTCTTATTTCTCTGCTGAACCAAGTGAAAGGCGAGTTTGTTTTACCGTGCATTCAGGCGAAAAAAAAATTTAAGTTTATATCAACTACCTGTTGATTCATTCTCAGAAATTAAGAATGGGTAGCTGATTTTGAGGTCATACAACGACGGGTGAGTCAGTAGCCAAAGGTATTTTCAAAAGGAGGGTACTAGCTTTCCTTCTACTAAGGGTTTTTGCATGCTCGTTTAACTCACATTTCACTTTAATTAGGGCTTCCGGAGAAAGTTTTCCAGTTAGTTATTCAAGATCTAGTTTGACATTAAAGGCCCAGTGGAAGCTTAGTTTAGGATTTAGTTCTTAAAGATTCAACACTATCTACATGATACGAGTGATAAGTTCCTTAAGTTCCACGCTGTACAGGACACTTATTTAGAGCGTAGGGGTGCTCCAACATGATGGTAAGTAGCAGATTTGTGGAATACAGTGAGAGTAATCGTTAAATGCAAGGCAAAATAGAACGTCCTTGTTTTGAATAGAAGACCTGTTGTTGTTACTTTCTTTTTATCGATGTATAACGTTAACTGCATAGTGGCTTAGATGTTTCTCTTTTGATTTTACTGCTACTTGGCACCGCTTGTTCCAGCCAATAGTTTTCGATCTGTTCGTATTTGTATTTATACTGCACTACGGGTTGCCCTTATGTCATAATGCTAATAAACTGTTCGGTTGTCTTATTGTGTCTTTCTCTTACAAATCGCACACGTCAAAAGAAAAGGTGGTGTTAGGATAATCGAAAGAATTAAATGATCAGATTGCTCTTTGATGAAGACTCGTGGGAGAACCAACCGTCCACCGCAAAAGCGAACAGTTTCTCGTGAAGGTTTCCTTGTAAACTGTAATTTCCTAAGTAGTTAGATGTCGCACGGAGCCAGGAAAGAAGCAATTGGTCTTCTCCAGAGTCATAATGCGCTTTCTACATCTTGTCTAAAAGTTCCCTGCCGCCACTCACGCTTAGAATAAACCCTCATATTACATCTCAAAAGCATAACGTTTTCCAACTAGTTAAATAAAACCTGAAAACTACTGTTTTACAATTTTTCGCATTGAGTTTTTTCCGTTTTTCAAATCACAATCAGAAGAATAAGCGGTAATATGGCACGCGACGAAACGTTTGAAATGCTTTCAAGCGTAATCATTGATCACTTGCTCACAACTCACTCAGATAAAGCAGAAGGGGAAGCTATGAAAGCTCAGACTTAACACCGGCAAAATATCCAAGGAACACCAGAAGAACATGAACAGAGAACGAATCAACAGCACTAGAAAAGAAAGAGAGCCATATCTACGTTTCCTGCGAATATCTTGACGTAAGCTTGAAATGTGGTTAACTATAACGACGTCTTCACTTCACCGATTACTTTACAT